AGTTAGAACCTTCGTAGTACGGATTCATCTGGTTAGATGGACTTTCATATGCTCCATCAGTGCTAAAAACACAACAACAAGAGTTTTTTGTAGGCTTTGAGTAGTTTATTCTAGTTTTTAGATAGATTGTGGGTCACTTTGTCCTATATGTGTGAATGTATTTTACATAAAAGAATTTTATTTGTACTGCATGTATGTGATAGCAATAGGGTTTTTTTTTTGGACAAACTTTGTTGTTGGAAATTTATAACATAGTCAGTTTCAACTGGAAAAGAGGAGCTTACTTGACTGTTACATCATTTTATTTGATTACCAAAATTTGAGTTCTATAAATGATATATGCTAGTTCATTAGCTTCTTTTGATCAAGATAGAAACCAATGCTCTTTTGTATTTTTCAGTCCCAAGTCATTGGGAATTGTTGTTGGGATTGTCTTTTTCGTCTTGGCAATTTTGTTTCAGTATTTTAACTTCACATCAGATTCAATTGTAAGTATATTATATTCCAATATTGTGGCTTCTTTTCTTTTTTCTTAATCTTCCTTTTGTTTTTAAGTCTGCTAATTTTTTATCATCAATGATTCCATAAATATTTGCACCATGTGTGATAAACAATTGTGAGTATGCTTACTATTATATTGCACACTAAATTGCTCGGTATGGTTCCGTGCTATGAATTTTATATTGCAATGTTTGCTATGAATTCGATAAAGATATTCGTGTGTTTGATCACTCTAGTATTGTTGTATGTTTTTAATGTAGATTTATGTATTATGTTGGATTTGTGGGTTTAATTATGTTGCGTGTGGCGTTCGTTTGCCTTGTTCTTAATTTGTGCTGAAGGTGGTATTTGATTGAATCTGATTCTCAAGTATTAATTCAAATGGTTTTGGGGAAGACAGTGATGCTATTTTGTAATTTTTTCAGTTCATTTTTTGGTGTTTATTTGTTTTGTTTAACGTGTTTATCAAGTCCAGGTAGCAATTCGTATCATACCCAGGTGCTTGGGCAGACAGTCTTGAGTGCTTGCAGTTTCTGATGATTTGCAGAAGGGCTGCAGTACTGTTGTTTCTGAGGTCAGTTGCTGGGGTGTGGTGGATTGCTATGGGTTTTGGAATGGTTCACTTTGTGGACTAATTTGCTTCTGTGAGGACAAAAATTTGCTAATTCAGTGGTTTTTACTGCTGTTCTAGTTTATGTTTGGGGGTGGAAGTAGGCTCATGAGCTGAATTGTGAGCAAAAGAGTAGTTGTGCTGTGTGAGGTACTTTTAGCAAGTGGGACTATCAGGTCCATTTTGGTTCATGTAGGTAGTCTGGCGAGCTGATCTGAATAGATATGGGACTGTCTCTTGCAGGATGCCTGCTTGACTGTGCTGGAGCTGGTTCTATGCAGCTGTATGGATCAGAAGGAGCTGCTAAAGTCATTGTACAGGAATTTTCTGTTTATAGCAGTTTTGATTCTTGTATAAACAGTTTTTCCTGTTTTTTCTGTTTAAACAGGAGCTGTTCTTTCTTAGAACAGTGCTGAATTTGATACTGACATAGACAATAAAAAAATGGAAGGAATCAAAACTAGTGAATCAAGTTGGGGAAAAAATAAGAAGAACCTGCTAAAGCCAGCTAGGGGAAAAAATCAGATTGGCCNAACTAGTGAATCAAGTTGGGGAAAAAATAAGAAGAACCTGCTAAAGCCAGCTAGGGGAAAAAATCAGATTGGCCGAAATAAAGTATTGATTTGTTTGAAAAAAAATATTATGCTATTATGTATTGACTACTCTATGGAGTTGCGTTTGCCTTGTGAGGTTGCTGCTGCTTTGGGGAATACTCGATCTGTTGCTGCTGCTTTAGTGTTTTGCTGAAAATTTTGAAGATGGAAAGATAGCTAGAATGGAGCTTATGGACTGAGGAGGTGTTTTCGTTATTATTTGGTTTTGCTGTATTTTTTGGACATTTTACTTGATAAAGCAACTGTGCCTTATTTTTTGTTTGGTTTTATAAGGCCTTGTTTGCTTCTTGTAATAATTCTATTTTTTGTAAATAAATAAATATTTTTCTGTTAAAAAAAAAAAGATTTGTTTGGAAAAAAGAAATACCAAAATATATATCTATATTTAACTTTCCTTATTTTTATATATTTTTATGTATATGTAAAAAATGTATAATTTTATTAGACTTGGATGGGTTAACCAAACATAGGATAGGATTAATTTGAATTGGAATAGATAAAATTATGAGTAGAATGATAAACTAACACAATTATTTGTGTAATTTATAACACCCATTGAATTATACATTTGTTTCTCAAACAAAACTTAGGATTGGATATAACCTGGGTTAGGGGTTAGGGTTTTAAAGTGGATGAGTGGAATTGACTTGGATGGGTTAAGATATAAAAAAAGAAATCCTATCCTATCCTACCCCATTACCCAAACACACCTATAACTTACAGAATGTGTCAACAGTCAACATATCCCCTTCACAAATTTCGAGGACTTGCAACATCAATATATAATAAAAATTAAAAAAATCATTCAGAAAATCATAAAAGACTTGAAGAAGTGCCCAAAGAGACCGGAACGGGATTCTTGGGTGAAGTTCACTTGTAAACTATGAGGGCCTGAAAACAAAAAGCACCAATCCCACTAAAACTGAGAGGATTAGACCCAGAACAGCAGCCCAGATGTTAAAACCGACTGACTTATCAGATTCACTGTGACTTCCTCGGCATGTATCATCTCTGCTATTCTTTAAGGATGAACAGTCTGGAACAGATGCTGAAGAAAAGGGAACTGCCATTTCCCAAAAGGATTTGGTGGCCAAAGTAGTCGAAGTGGGCGCTTCTGTTTCTGGCTCCAAGATTGTTGATTCATCGATTGAAGCTTCCATTGACATCAACTCAACACAATTGTCTTTAAGAACCTAATTAGATAAACAAACAAAGTTAGAGCGAAAACGGAAAACTACAATACATTTCAAGGATGGGTGAGGAACTTATATTTCATCCACCCAAAAAGATTTTCAATATTTGTATAAAAAATGAAATTCCTCTACAACTTCACATTATTTGAAAAAGTGCTAAGTTACATTGCCCCAATGTTGACATTAGAGAGATTCGTCCAAGCCATATAAGTGCTAATAGTTATCATCTGAAAGCTGTTCAATTCAGGTACTCAAAACTGATCAATCATACAGTTCTGCTCACAAAGAGTCTGCTTAGCAGGTGCCGAGCAAGGCCCTAAACTAATAGAACTCTACTCACTTTTTCTTAGATACGAAGAGTTCTACCCACTATAATCTGAGTAAAAGTTGCCACTCATTTTAGACCTAGGAACTAGGGATATATATAGAAAATATTCATTAACAAAAACAATCCCATTTTGCCTAATATATTATCAACCAAAGGGACACACTATTCTGCTCCATACAGAACATCCAATACTCCACTCGCCAAATCAAAGAATGAAAATACCCCCAATCAAGACCACAAGGCCAATAGCAGTTTGTCCAGCCAGATAGTTCTGAGGACAGNATGTCCCAACTCAGGGTCGGAAAGTATGAAAGGCTATGTGAGATCCGAAATAGTACATTCAAAAATAAGAGCCATCAGGGTTTATCACAAATCTGCTCAGAACAAATATTGACCATTCCAATAGACAGGATATCACAGAGTATCCTTACTCTAGGTGATCCTTTAAAATCTATCTGCAATTGGCAATCCATTATAATTAAGTAACAACTGATAATTTGTAAGCACCTCAGATTGAAAATTTTTACATAATCATATTCTTGCAAACCTGCATAGTTAATGTGGAACATCTCTGATGCATACAAAATTACACGATGACGAATATAAAATGCTAAGCAGTATCTTATCCAAATGGCAACAATGTATAACTTTAAAATGGCCATGTATATTAAGTTATCTAATTTATCACTGGATGTCCAATAATGTAAACNAACTTTGGACTGATACACGTTGGGAAGACAAGTATAACTAAACTCTCGAGGGGAAGTGAATCAACCCTGCAACCACATGCGTTATATTTACTGTTCTTTGAGCATCAGCACATTACAAGGTATTATAAGCAAGACCAATGCTGACACAATACCATGATTCTCTCAAACACCAAAGAAAGAAAAACAAAATAGAGAGATTGTTAACCAAAGCACAGGTACAATCTAGGTCTCTTTCCTGTAATTTCAGGGCCCTCTGAATCTTTGTTGCATTAAAGCTAGTCTCTCATTTATTTTCTCATACGCAACAGATCCATTATCAGTTCCCTCATATCTCCTTGCAATCATACTGGGATAAAAAAATTAGAAAATTAGCGGATCTGAATTTCCCTATGCAATTAAAAGATATTTATGTAATTGCAGAATGGTCCTCCTTGTGACATGATGGGTTTGGGTATGATTCCCAAACCCCCAGGTCAGATCAGGGGTTTAACACTTGCCAGACAGGAAAAAAAAAAAAGATAATAGCAATGTGGAAACACCAAAAGATTATGGCCTAAGAGGACAGCTCAGTTGACAGGATGTGGTTTGACAAAAAAAAGAAAGATAGGTCATCTTTCTGAGTTGAAATTTGAAGCTAATACGAAGAATCTTCAATTCAGTTTTACCCACCCTGAGCATTAAATTATTCAGTTTAATAATTGTAATGAGGATAAATTATGGTCCATTATACAAAAAAGAAATCTCAGAAGCTAGAAGCTGAATTTAAGGAGAGATGAAGAGAGGGAAACAAGTCAAACAGACATGATAAACATCAATAATATACTTCTTAATACATTTGCATTTGGCATGCCACATAAGAATAAGGATTTAAATTTTAAATTTTCTCTATCTCAAGGGCAACTATTCATTTTCATTAACTAGTATTTGATAGAGTCCAGAAGAAAACATGGCATGCACTAGGCAGATGATCTTGACCTTCCAGAAAAAGAAAACGAAAACATAGGATTCTTTGTTCATCAAAGATATGAGCACAGACCTCAAGTGTTTCAGATGGTTGCAAATAGTCACATATATAGGTACCCGCAAGCCAAGGGACAAAGACTCTCCGAGGAAAGCTGAGGCTGCATGTTTTTCTGTTTGCAAATACATAAATAAATTATCCAGTCAGTTCAGAAATTCACTACAACATTTCTGCAGCAGAAACCTGGAAATATATTTATAAATTATGGATTAATCAGTTAGCAATCTACAAAAGTGTAATTTGCTACCTCATGTTACTTATGTTATGTTGCTTGCAAATATATTTTACTCGTGAGTTAATAAGAAAATTAAGAAGCAAATAGAGATCACAGACATTCCATCACAATAAGATATCAACGGCACATTTAGTTATTTTGATAGTTAAAAGAAGAAATGATCAATTAACAACTAGCTCCCGCTCCTCACTAGAAAAAATCAATAACCCGGGTATGGTGACGTGATGCAATGCTATCAAAAGTTTTGTGGCTGCATAGATATTAAAACATACAATTCTTGCCATCTTCAACAAATTGTCATTTACTAAAGAAGTGATGCAATAACAACACTGGACAAGATCTCCTTGTTGTTTATGTCTACAGCGGAACATTGCAGCACATATACTATGGCCACGGTACCTCAACAACTGCAGGTCCATCTGGAGAATGGGCTTCTCTGTTGATGCGTCAGGACTTGCCCCCTCACCATCATTACCATATGACTCTATTTCTCTTTCTGCTTCATCATGGAGAATATCTAATCTACATTGCAGACTCATGATTATGTCTCCCTACACAGTAAAATTCATGATTACACCGAGAAGAGGATTAACAATGAGTGACCCAAGAGAACCAAAGGTGCAAACTTCTATGAATTTCTTGGAAAGCAATACCATTTGATAGTAACAAATCAATAAAGTTCCTACCAGAATAAATAACAATCATTGTAATTCACTACAGCCACTGTGGCCATGCATTATAAAGGTGCATGTACTGCAAGGTGGAATCAAAATTTCACCATAATGTCATATTGTATCCACAGTTGAGGATCTTATTCATACGCGAGACTATATAAACATCAGCCAGCCATCAGCACTGGTAACCTCCTTAAAATGTGCAAAATACTTCACAACTAAATACATAAGCAGAAGCAAGAAATTCAATCAAAATAAAGATGTTGCCAGAACTATCAATTAATTGAGTACCTTCATATCAGCCAAAGCTTGTGAAATTGATTCTTTCGAATTTAAGTATGCAAAAGAGCAGACAGAACCCCTAAAGACAAGAACACCAATAACATCCTTCCGGCTGCATGCTTCACAGCAAATATATAAGTAAATAAGCATATAATGTTAAAACCAGAAAATCAAATAATATCTAAAGCACAGCAAAGAACAGCCTAAACTCCTACTCAAGGACGAAGAATAAATTCCAAATTTACATTTGGCAACTAGCAACACACCTTCTAGAGATGTATCTTGCATGAAAGGTAGAAGAAATTCAACTTCATGTAAACCATCTGATGCACACTGCTCATCCTGTGTCACCTAAAAATACATGAAAGACTAAACATCCTCAGGCAAAGCTAAAATTGGAGATAGTCTAACCAACAAGTCATGCATATACGGTGTGAAATTTGCATGAAAGGTAGAAGAAATTCAACTTCATGTAAACCACCTGATGCACACTGCTCATCCTATGTCACCTAAAAATACATGGAAGACTAAACATCCTCTGGCAAAGCTAAAATTGGAAATAGTCTACCCAACAAGTCATGCATATACGGTGTGAAATTTGACTATTTAACTATTTTGCAGGCTAACAGGCATTGGTACCAGAAAGAAAGAAAAGTTGACACTACAGTGGCATTTCAGTCTCAGGTTCTGTCTACATTCTATATGCACGATATTGTTATTTTGTCGTGAGGATTTATGTATTTTATCTGATCAGAGCAGAGAAAATGTAGGAAGAATGAAACTATTAGTAATATAACATGAATTTCATTGAATTTCAAAACTAATGGACTATACTATAGCAATCAATAATAACCCATTTCTCATAGAAAAAGTATAGCAACCATTCTCTCACCTGTCGAACCCTATTAATTAATAAAAAATTTGTGTCATTTACATTTTTCCAATAAACTTTAAACAAAATTTGCAAATAATTAATATTAACAATTAAACATTTCTCCATGTAATAGTATTGTCATATATCAAATTTAACAAGCTTTCAAAAGAGTGCCTGATAAACGTAATTAAGATTTTATTTTCTATCATGGAAAGGCAAAAGAGTATTGAACACATGTTTGTGAGTTACCGAAGAATATTGGACATGCCACCTTCTTTAGAGGCGTCCTTGCTTCTTAGCTTTTTCCACCAACACATTCATCAAGGCATCTACCTCATTTCTAATATGTCACATAAAGAGCCAGCAGCTTGCAAGACCCACATGTAGATGTGGCCAAAATTGCAATAATTTAACTAATTGTATACTCCAAAATCTACATAGATAGACATGATTTCAAGCATGTCCCAACTCAGGGTCGGAAAGTATGAAAGGCTATGTGAGATCCGAAATAGTACATTCAAAAATAAGAGCCATCAGGGTTTATCACAAATCTGCTCAGAACAAATATTGACCATTCCAATAGACAGGATATCACAGAGTATCCTTACTCTAGGTGATCCTTTAAAATCTATCTGCAATTGGCAATCCATTATAATTAAGTAACAACTGATAATTTGTAAGCACCTCAGATTGAAAATTTTTACATAATCATATTCTTGCAAACCTGCATAGTTAATGTGGAACATCTCTGATGCATACAAAATTACACGATGACGAATATAAAATGCTAAGCAGTATCTTATCCAAATGGCAACAATGTATAACTTTAAAATGGCCATGTATATTAAGTTATCTAATTTATCACTGGATGTCCAATAATGTAAACAAAAATGCAAAATGCCCTCAAAGTGGTATGCAAAAATGCTTCTTACCAACTTTCCATCGATCAAAGCCTTTGCACTTTCAAGCTCTTTGGCATGACTTGAAATTCCAAAACGAAGAATATCAGCCAATTTTCTGACATTGGATACATTCTCATGGATTATGGGCAATCTGGAGAGAGACAGTTTGATCAATGAGACACAAGACCATATATCTTGCTGAAAAATGAAAGCTACACANAAAATTAGCGGATCTGAATTTCCCTATGCAATTAAAAGATATTTATGTAATTGCAGAGTGGTCCTCCTTGTGACATGATGGGTTTGGGTATGATTCCCAAACCCCCAGGTCAGATCAGGGGTTTAACACTTGCTAGACAGGAANCCCAAACCCCCAGGTCAGATCAGGGGTTTAACACTTGCCAGACAGGAAAAAAAAAAAGATAATAGCAATGTGGAAACACCAAAAGATTATGGCCTAAGAANCAAAGAAATAGCTGTACGTATAGTGAACTTCTATTATACATGTGGCCACAACTTGTCGAGCATTTTTTTTTTTGCCTAACAGCCAAGTTGCCAAGTTCANCAAAGAAATAGCTGTACGTATAGTGAACTTCTATTATACATGTGGCCACAACTTGTCAAGCATTTTTTTTTTTGCCTAACAGCCAAGTTGCCAAGTTCTNACACTTGCCAGACAGGAAAAAAAAAAAAGATAATAGCAATGTGGAAACACCAAAAGATTATGGCCTAAGAGGACAGCTCAGTTGACAGGATGTGGTTTGACAAAAAAAAGAAAGATAGGTCATCTTTCTGAGTTGAAATTTGAAGCTAATACGAAGAATCTTCAATTCAGTTTTACCCACCCTGAGCATTAAATTATTCAGTTTAATAATTGTAATGAGGATAAATTATGGTCCATTATACAAAAAAGAAATCTCAGAAGCTAGAAGCTGAATTTAAGGAGAGATGAAGAGAGGGAAACAAGTCAAACAGACATGATAAACATCAATAATATACTTCTTAATACATTTGCATTTGGCATGCCACATAAGAATAAGGATTTAAATTTTAAATTTTCTCTATCTCAAGGGCAACTATTCATTTTCATTAACTAGTATTTGATAGAGTCCAGAAGAAAACATGGCATGCACTAGGCAGATGATCTTGACCTTCCAGAAAAAGAAAACGAAAACATAGGATTCTTTGTTCATCAAAGATATGAGCACAGACCTCAAGTGTTTCAGATGGTTGCAAATAGTCACATATATAGGTACCCGCAAGCCAAGGGACAAAGACTCTCCGAGGAAAGCTGAGGCTGCATGTTTTTCTGTTTGCAAATACATAAATAAATTATCCAGTCAGTTCAGAAATTCACTACAACATTTCTGCAGCAGAAACCTGGAAATATATTTATAAATTATGGATTAATCAGTTAGCAATCTACAAAAGTGTAATTTGCTACCTCATGTTACTTATGTTATGTTGCTTGCAAATATATTTTACTCGTGAGTTAATAAGAAAATTAAGAAGCAAATAGAGATCACAGACATTCCATCACAATAAGATATCAACGGCACATTTAGTTATTTTGATAGTTAAAAGAAGAAATGATCAATTAACAACTAGCTCCCGCTCCTCACTAGAAAAAATCAATAACCCGGGTATGGTGACGTGATGCAATGCTATCAAAAGTTTTGTGGCTGCATAGATATTAAAACATACAATTCTTGCCATCTTCAACAAATTGTCATTTACTAAAGAAGTGATGCAATAACAACACTGGACAAGATCTCCTTGTTGTTTATGTCTACAGCGGAACATTGCAGCACATATACTATGGCCACGGTACCTCAACAACTGCAGGTCCATCTGGAGAATGGGCTTCTCTGTTGATGCGTCAGGACTTGCCCCCTCACCATCATTACCATATGACTCTATTTCTCTTTCTGCTTCATCATGGAGAATATCTAATCTACATTGCAGACTCATGATTATGTCTCCCTACACAGTAAAATTCATGATTACACCGAGAAGAGGATTAACAATGAGTGACCCAAGAGAACCAAAGGTGCAAACTTCTATGAATTTCTTGGAAAGCAATACCATTTGATAGTAACAAATCAATAAAGTTCCTACCAGAATAAATAACAATCATTGTAATTCACTACAGCCACTGTGGCCATGCATTATAAAGGTGCATGTACTGCAAGGTGGAATCAAAATTTCACCATAATGTCATATTGTATCCACAGTTGAGGATCTTATTCATACGCGAGACTATATAAACATCAGCCAGCCATCAGCACTGGTAACCTCCTTAAAATGTGCAAAATACTTCACAACTAAATACATAAGCAGAAGCAAGAAATTCAATCAAAATAAAGATGTTGCCAGAACTATCAATTAATTGAGTACCTTCATATCAGCCAAAGCTTGTGAAATTGATTCTTTCGAATTTAAGTATGCAAAAGAGCAGACAGAACCCCTAAAGACAAGAACACCAATAACATCCTTCCGGCTGCATGCTTCACAGCAAATATATAAGTAAATAAGCATATAATGTTAAAACCAGAAAATCAAATAATATCTAAAGCACAGCAAAGAACAGCCTAAACTCCTACTCAAGGACGAAGAATAAATTCCAAATTTACATTTGGCAACTAGCAACACACCTTCTAGAGATGTATCTTGCATGAAAGGTAGAAGAAATTCAACTTCATGTAAACCATCTGATGCACACTGCTCATCCTGTGTCACCTAAAAATACATGAAAGACTAAACATCCTCAGGCAAAGCTAAAATTGGAGATAGTCTAACCAACAAGTCATGCATATACGGTGTGAAATTTGCATGAAAGGTAGAAGAAATTCAACTTCATGTAAACCACCTGATGCACACTGCTCATCCTATGTCACCTAAAAATACATGGAAGACTAAACATCCTCTGGCAAAGCTAAAATTGGAAATAGTCTACCCAACAAGNGGCATGCCACATAAGAATAAGGATTTAAATTTTAAATTTTCTCTATCTCAAGGGCAACTATTCATTTTCATTAACTAGTATTTGATAGAGTCCAGAAGAAAACATGGCATGCACTAGGCAGATGATCTTGACCTTCCAGAAAAAGAAAACGAAAACATAGGATTCTTTGTTCATCAAAGATATGAGCACAGACCTCAAGTGTTTCAGATGGTTGCAAATAGTCACATATATAGGTACCCGCAAGCCAAGGGACAAAGACTCTCCGAGGAAAGCTGAGGCTGCATGTTTTTCTGTTTGCAAATACATAAATAAATTATCCAGTCAGTTCAGAAATTCACTACAACATTTCTGCAGCAGAAACCTGGAAATATATTTATAAATTATGGATTAATCAGTTAGCAATCTACAAAAGTGTAATTTGCTACCTCATGTTACTTATGTTATGTTGCTTGCAAATATATTTTACTCGTGAGTTAATAAGAAAATTAAGAAGCAAATAGAGATCACAGACATTCCATCACAATAAGATATCAACGGCACATTTAGTTATTTTGATAGTTAAAAGAAGAAATGATCAATTAACAACTAGCTCCCGCTCCTCACTAGAAAAAATCAATAACCCGGGTATGGTGACGTGATGCAATGCTATCAAAAGTTTTGTGGCTGCATAGATATTAAAACATACAATTCTTGCCATCTTCAACAAATTGTCATTTACTAAAGAAGTGATGCAATAACAACACTGGACAAGATCTCCTTGTTGTTTATGTCTACAGCGGAACATTGCAGCACATATACTATGGCCACGGTACCTCAACAACTGCAGGTCCATCTGGAGAATGGGCTTCTCTGTTGATGCGTCAGGACTTGCCCCCTCACCATCATTACCATATGACTCTATTTCTCTTTCTGCTTCATCATGGAGAATATCTAATCTACATTGCAGACTCATGATTATGTCTCCCTACACAGTAAAATTCATGATTACACCGAGAAGAGGATTAACAATGAGTGACCCAAGAGAACCAAAGGTGCAAACTTCTATGAATTTCTTGGAAAGCAATACCATTTGATAGTAACAAATCAATAAAGTTCCTACCAGAATAAATAACAATCATTGTAATTCACTACAGCCACTGTGGCCATGCATTATAAAGGTGCATGTACTGCAAGGTGGAATCAAAATTTCACCATAATGTCATATTGTATCCACAGTTGAGGATCTTATTCATACGCGAGACTATATAAACATCAGCCAGCCATCAGCACTGGTAACCTCCTTAAAATGTGCAAAATACTTCACAACTAAATACATAAGCAGAAGCAAGAAATTCAATCAAAATAAAGATGTTGCCAGAACTATCAATTAATTGAGTACCTTCATATCAGCCAAAGCTTGTGAAATTGATTCTTTCGAATTTAAGTATGCAAAAGAGCAGACAGAACCCCTAAAGACAAGAACACCAATAACATCCTTCCGGCTGCATGCTTCACAGCAAATATATAAGTAAATAAGCATATAATGTTAAAACCAGAAAATCAAATAATATCTAAAGCACAGCAAAGAACAGCCTAAACTCCTACTCAAGGACGAAGAATAAATTCCAAATTTACATTTGGCAACTAGCAACACACCTTCTAGAGATGTATCTTGCATGAAAGGTAGAAGAAATTCAACTTCATGTAAACCATCTGATGCACACTGCTCATCCTGTGTCACCTAAAAATACATGAAAGACTAAACATCCTCAGGCAAAGCTAAAATTGGAGATAGTCTAACCAACAAGTCATGCATATACGGTGTGAAATTTGCATGAAAGGTAGAAGAAATTCAACTTCATGTAAACCACCTGATGCACACTGCTCATCCTATGTCACCTAAAAATACATGGAAGACTAAACATCCTCTGGCAAAGCTAAAATTGGAAATAGTCTACCCAACAAGTCATGCATATACGGTGTGAAATTTGACTATTTAACTATTTTGCAGGCTAACAGGCATTGGTACCAGAAAGAAAGAAAAGTTGACACTACAGTGGCATTTCAGTCTCAGGTTCTGTCTACATTCTATATGCACGATATTGTTATTTTGTCGTGAGGATTTATGTATTTTATCTGATCAGAGCAGAGAAAATGTAGGAAGAATGAAACTATTAGTAATATAACATGAATTTCATTGAATTTCAAAACTAATGGACTATACTATAGCAATCAATAATAACCCATTTCTCATAGAAAAAGTATAGCAACCATTCTCTCACCTGTCGAACCCTATTAATTAATAAAAAATTTGTGTCATTTACATTTTTCCAATAAACTTTAAACAAAATTTGCAAATAATTAATATTAACAATTAAACATTTCTCCATGTAATAGTATTGTCATATATCAAATTTAACAAGCTTTCAAAAGAGTGCCTGATAAACGTAATTAAGATTTTATTTTCTATCATGGAAAGGCAAAAGAGTATTAAACACATGTTTGTGAGTTACCGAAGAATATTGGACATGCCACCTTCTTTAGAGGCGTCCTTGCTTCTTAGCTTTTTCCACCAACACATTCATCAAGGCATCTACCTCATTTCTAATATGTCACATAAAGAGCCAGCAGCTTGCAAGACCCACATGTAGATGTGGCCAAAATTGCAATAATTTAACTAATTGTATACTCCAAAATCTACATAGATAGACATGATTTCAAGCATGTCCCAACTCAGGGTCGGAAAGTATGAAAGGCTATGTGAGATCCGAAATAGTACATTCAAAAATAAGAGCCATCAGGGTTTATCACAAATCTGCTCAGAACAAATATTGACCATTCCAATAGACAGGATATCACAGAGTATCCTTACTCTAGGTGATCCTTTAAAAATCTATCTGCAATTGGCAATCCATTATAATTAAGTAACAACTGATAATTTGTAAGCACCTCAGATTGAAAATTTTTACGTAATCATATTCTTGCAAACCTGCATAGTTAATGTGGAACATCTCTGATGCATACAAAATTACACGACGACGAATATAAAATGATAAGCAGTATCTTATCCAAATGGCAACAATGTATAACTTTAAAATGGCCATGCATATTAAGTTATCTAATTTATCACTGGATGTCCAATAATGTAAATAAAAATGCAAAATGCCCTCAAAGTGGTATGCAAAAATGCTTCTTACCAACTTTCCATCGATCAAAGCCTTTGCACTTTCAAGCTCTTTGGCATGACTTGAAATTCCAAAACGAAGAATATCAGCCAATTTTCTGACATTGGATACATTCTCATGGATTATGGGCAATCTGGAGAGAGACAGTTTGATCAATGAGACACAAGACCATATATCTTGCTGAAAAATGAAAGCTACACAAAGAAATAGCTGTACGTATAGTGAACTTCTATTATACATGTGGCCACAACTTGTCGAGCATTTTTTTTTTTGCCTAACAGCCAAGTTGCCAAGTTCAACAATGCAAGTAAAAAAAAAAATGTGCTCATTAACAACCAGCTGCTTTGAAGTTTGAACATTACACAAGGTTTTATTTAATAATCAATAATACTATGGGAGGGAAGCTGTCATCCAGCTTCAAAATCTGATACGTGTAATTTGAAGATAAATTCAGGAAACAAAAGCATTTCAGCTTCTACTTTGTAAAACTGTTGCTGATTATCTGCACCATAAACTATGGAGAAAGTCCTTATCTACTAAATTCTTATCATTCAGATACTTGGCAATTTCAGTTTCTCTTCTTCGCACAAGTTGGATATAACTCTTTATGAGGAACAATATCATAATTATACTCCAGAGCCTTGCAACACCAAAGCACTTCTGCTTGTAAAGTTGAAGATATGAGAGAGAATCAAGCACACAAAAAAACATTACCTTAGATCAAACTTGTATGTGCATCGAAATGTTTGAAGGGACGTTAAAACTCTTCCCATTTTAAAATCACAAGGACGTAGGCTACTTGATGTAATATTTGAAGCCAGCGTGCAATTTCGACATGTCCATCTACACAAAAACAACTTTTAGCCACTGCCAATAAAAAGGAATGAATTAAATTGTTTGACAGGGATAATGAACTTGGATGAAGTTACCTTCTTGGGCTATAACTAATGTGAATAAGAAGTCCCTCATCCCAATCGTTCTTCACCACAGATGCCACTTCTGCAACACCCTTTACAGTCTGCAAGTGCCAACCCAGGAATAACAAATCTGATCAGTAGTTAGAAACCTATAGAAGTTCTACCCAAGTCAAAAGAGACCATAACTGCAAGTTCCCATAAACTACTAATTACCGCAGAAGTATTACAATAAAAACAAAAAATAACGGACATTGTGCAATAGAAACAATATCTATTATCGGCTGCATGCACACGGCTTCCCATTTGTTAGGATGATAAATTGACGACTATTACACAAGCTACATGATGTTGAGACAAGTCAGAACTGGACTGCCACAATCAGACAATAAGACAGATTCGATTCTTCTATTTTCAATAGAAGCAAAGAACCTTTAAATAACAATCAAATAAGAAAGTGGAATGAGACTATCATATCACCTGGCAAAGCGTTATGGTAGAATTCTTGAAAGAGCTCTCACTGGCCCATATATAGATGCCAACCACTTGCATGCCACCCAATAGCATTCTCGAGACCTGTCACAGTAATCAATGATAATCAACTGAAACGTAAAAAGATGCAGGTCTGACTAATATAAGTACCTGACGAGCGTGTTCGGCAACCCAATCTTGGTCGATAAACAGAGACGAAGATTCGGACAGAGATTTGGATTTCGACCCTTTTTTCTTGTCATCTCTGACATTCTCAATGACCGAACAAGCCGATTTTCCGTCGTCGTTTGGAGGTGTGGGAATCAAATCGAAGACGAACCCTCGTTCTAGACTCGAACTCAGCTTCCCAATCACAAGCCCTACCTGTCATAATCAAAATCAAAACCACTAACNTCAGGACTTGCCCCCTCACCATCATTACCATATGACTCTATTTCTCTTTCTGCTTCATCATGGAGAATATCTAATCTACATTGCAGACTCATGATTATGTCTCCCTACACAATAAAATTCATGATTACACCNACTTGCCCCCTCACCATCATTACCATATGACTCTATTTCTCTTTCTGCTTCATCATGTAGAATATCTAATCTACATTGCAGACTCATGATTATGTCTCCCTACACAGTAAAATTCATGATTACACCGAGAAGAGGATTAACAATGAGTGACCCAAGAGAACCAAAGGTGCAAACTTCTATGAATTTCTTGGAAAGCAATACCATTTGATAGTAACAAATCAATAAAGTTCCTACCAGAATAAATAACAATCATTGTAATTCACTACAGCCACTGTGGCCATGCATTATAAAGGTGCATGTACTGCAAGGTGGAATCAAAATTTCACCATAATGTCATATTGTATCCACAGTTGAGGATCTTATTCATACGCGAGACTATATAAACATCAGCCAGCCATCAGCACTGGTAACCTCCTTAAAATGTGCAAAATACTTCACAACTAAATACATAAGCAGAAGCAAGAAATTCAATCAAAATAAAGATGTTGCCAGAACTATCAATTAATTGAGTACCTTCATATCAGCCAAAGCTTGTGAAATTGATTCTTTCGAATTTAAGTATGCAAAAGAGCAGACAGAACCCCTAAAGACAAGAACACCAATAACATCCTTCCGGCTGCATGCTTCACAGCAAATATATAAGTAAATAAGCATATAATGTTAAAACCAGAAAATCAAATAATATCTAAAGCACAGCAAAGAACAGCCTAAACTCCTACTCAAGGACGAAGAATAAATTCCAAATTTACATTTGGCAACTAGCAACACACCTTCTAGAGATGTATCTTGCATGAAAGGTAGAAGAAATTCAACTTCATGTAAACCATCTGATGCACACTGCTCATCCTGTGTCACCTAAAAATACATGGAAGACTAAACATCCTCAGGCAAAGCTAAAATTGGAGATAGTCTAACCAACAAGTCATGCATATACGGTGTGAAATTTGCATGAAAGGTAGAAGAAATTCAACTTCATGTAAACCATCTGATGCACACTGCTCATCCTATGTCACCTAAAAATACATGGAAGACTAAACATCCTC